GGGAAAAGAAAAGCAATAAAAGAAATCTTGAAGGGGAAGTTATACATACGTTTCATGTTCCATTTCTCAGGAAATGGCATATCTGCAACCGGGATTAATTCTGAGGTCCTCACTCGAACAAATCGGCCCAACAAGCCCCGGTCCTGATTCTCGTCGATGCTCGAGAATAAGGCCTTAGTGGCTCGACGTGCGAGCTTGATTAATCCGGTAAAGTCGAGGGCTATAAAGGCGCATGAAGTGGTCGAGGGTAAATGGCCACCCCTCGAGTTTGCTCACAAAGAAACGAAGTAGAATAACAATCCTCCAAAATGAATGATGGATCTGCCTCAGCGTCACTTCATACATTTTGCAAAAGGCTTTGATAATTAGTCTAAAGGACCCAACGTGAAAGGGTAAGTGTAAACCCTTTAAGAACCCTCCACGTACGTGGTGATCGATTCCCGGGGGTAGGGACCACTACGAGTTTATATTCCCAGTTACAGTTCTCTTTGACCTTATCGAGGATGCTAGCAATAATAGTACATATGTACCTCGAGACCGGCTCGCACCGACCTAGTACCAAGGGGGTTTTCTCGATCTTGAAGTCGGCCCCGGTTGGGCACCCCGAGGGGACAAATGACTTTAGAGGGGGTTCCGGTGTTGATTCCTCAGTAGCAGCATGCGAAACATTTTCAGATGGTTTAGAGGAAGAAGGGGTTTCTTTTTGAGGAATAGATTTTTAAGTCTTTGCCATTTTTTTAATAAACAATGGAGAAGAAAGTGTTGGTAAAAGAGGAGGTGTGCTTAGCGAAATAACTTATGTAAACTTTCAAAAGAACTAGAAGAGAAGATATAATTATCAGATAACTTATAAGAACTCTCAGAAAACCAGAAGGGAAAAAGTTTGAACTTAAGCTTTCAGAAAACTAGTAGATGAGAGTGCTGAAGTTTTCCCAAAACACAAGAGCAAATATCTGAATGTAAACGTTCTAATGAATGAATGAAAGAGGTATTTATAGTTTTCTCGAACGGCGGTTCGCTTCCTGTATTGGCCGACCATCAACTGATACTCATTTAATGCCTTAAAAACTAGACCAATGGGACGTTTTCAATTGTTCTTATCACTTACGTCATGAATCCGTCGTCATGATTTATCGAAGTGAGAATCGGGAGCCCATATCGTTTCTCATCATTTACTCTTCGAAAAACAAAGGAATTTGACGTCGTATTTTGTCTTTTACGTTATGATATATCGAAATGAGAATCTGAGGTTCATGTCGTTTTCCGTCACCTACTCTCCGAAAAATGAGGGGACGATTTGTGTACGGTTAAAATCGAGCTCTGTCAACTTATCCAACAGGGGTCCGTGATTCTTGCCATTAACCAATCATTATGGCAGAAATTACGTAATTAGTCAAAAAAGGAACCAACGGTCTTCAAAATCAAGGACTTATATATTTTATAGTACAATAAAATAATACCCTAAAGGGTAGGTCTCCCTCAATATATAAAGGGGAATTGACAATTCATTAAGGATTGTAACATATACTAATAGGTAATACATTCTCTAAGTTTTTACTCTTTGATATTTTGGTGTCAAATAAAGTGCATTCAATTCAAGGGTGGTCTACTTTCCTAAGCCGAAATCATTCAACTCACGTGGTTTGTGGTTAATCTATCGTTATTTATTTCAATTGCAATCTAATTTATCACTTTGTATCAAGTTAATCCATATGTCGTTATAATCACTAACAAATTTAATTGTTATCTGATTTGGAGGGTAAACAAGGTTGTTTCCACGCCTCGAATCTCCTGGTCACATGACATCAATTTTACCAGTTACGCCAAGGCTCCCCTCCCGTCTACGAAACACTTCAGGAGAATAATTTTGGTATCATGAATATTCAGGCCCCGGAAAAACTACTTCTTTTGCAGTAAAATATCATAAATTAGTAAAACCAATGAGGTTGAATAATTATTTTAATTAGAGAGCAATCTTGAAATAAACACTTTATCACGTGAGCTCCAACGGGTTATTGGCTTTGTTATTAGTTGAATTAATTCCTGAATTAGCTCAGCTTTGTTTGTCTTAGATCTTTAACCATTTCCGCAAGTAATTGTTGGAATTGACCCTTACTTTGTCTTCATCCAATTGTACTCCTGAAATTTGGGTCCCAAATCCGGGTCATTAGTCTTTAACTTTTTTCTTTTAAAATTTTATTCAGATAATATAAGTTAAATACAATTAATATAGCTCAATTCTTGAGGCAGAAATCGGAATGTTTGGACTTCAAGAAAATCTGTGCAGGGGAATCTCTGATGATAGTGCAGACTGCAGAGTATTAAATTCCATGTGTGCAAATGTGTAATGTTTTCAAAATTCACATCTAATCGCAATTATAATCTCCAAAACTAGAATTCTCAAGAATAAAAGAGTTGCATGAAATTATTTCTCAGTTTAAAAGTGAAAAGATTTGTTTTCACTAGAAGATCACCTAAATGATAATTAAAGTAATCGTCCAAAAAAGAATGTAGAATTAGTAATATAAAAAATAAAATATGTTTTTCTGATATCAAGATGAATGTATAATCATGTCATATAATTTTTTAAATGATCAGGAAAATCACATTTTAAATACTATTTAATTATATCTTAACAAAAGTTTCTTAGGCTATATTTGGTTAGGTTATACATAAGAAAGACAGAGGAGTGAATGTAAGGTCAAAGGCCGTTTTTCTCATTTGGTAAGGAAGTAAGTTAAAGAGGAACGCTAAGTCTCTATCTCACCAAACTAGCAAAAAAGACACACCTAAATACAAGGTATTTTATGTTCACATGTGAGAGAGAATCGAATCCCAAAATTTCACAATATAAGTATTAGTGATTGTTTTTATTACTCGTACTCGTGACGTATCGACGAGTACAAAAACAACTCTGCCCAATTTCAAATACGATTCACCAAACTACAACGACAATAGAAAAGCTTATCCCAATTTCAAAATAGGTACATGAGATTGGAACTTGGAAGTAAAGATTGATAGATAATTTTGTGAGGAACAAATATCAAAGCAGACAAGAAAGGCTACTTTCGGTTAGCCTGATTTGACCTCCATGGTTATCATATATATGAAATTTTCCTAACAGTCAAGTCCTGTGGGCAATGATATGGCAATAATAAGGTCTACTTAATTAGTCTACGAATTTTCCCACATTTGCTGCTATTAATGCTCCTAATCATTCATTCCAAAGGTCACAAAAATAATTTTAAAAAAAAAAGACTAATTGACTTATATACCGACGTATTTTGACACTATCTATGTATTTTAACCTATTCTACCGAAGTATGTATTTTATTCTCATATTATTGATTTAACTTCTTGTGAATAGTTACTTATAACGGCGAAGGGCCAAATATATTCTTGTACTTTTGAAAATGGTTTTAAAATACCCCTATTATACTATTGGACTATATATACCCTTCCTGTCATACTTTAGAACAAATATACCCTTATTTTGGATGGAGTGCCACGTGTCAGCACCAGATGAAAAAGACTCATTTCTTTTTTTTTTTACCCGATCCGTTTTAAAACACTCACCACCTGACCCATTTTAAAATTTAATTTTTTTAAAGCATATATTTTGTAAAAACTAAATTTTTTTTTTGTAAAAACTGAAGGAAAAAAAAAAGAAATTTGCAAAATATATATTTTTAAATCTTTTCAGTTTTTTTAAAGTATTGTTTTTGTAAAAACTGGAAAAAAAAATATTTTTTTTAAAAATGCTTTAAAAACTGAAAAATATATATTCTGTAAAAACTGAAAAAAAAAAAAAAGAAATTTGCAAAATATATATTTTTAAGTCTTTTCAGTTTTTTTAAAGTATTTCTTTTTGTAAAAACTGAAAAAAAAATATTTTTTTAAAAAACTAAAAAAAAAGACTCTCCTAAAGCAGTGGACTACATATGCATTAATTTTAAAAAAATAAAAATATTTTGCAAAATCTTTTTTTTCAGTTTTTACAAAAAAATACTTTAAAAAACTGAAAAAACTAAAATATATATATATATATATATATATATTGAAAATTTCTTTTTTTTTTCAGTTTTTACAGTATAATTATTTTTCAGTTTTTAAAGCATTTTTTTAAAAAAATTTTCTTTCCAGTTTTTACAAAAAACATACTTTAAAAAAATTGAAAAGACTTAAAAATATATATTTTGCAAATTCCTTTTTTTTTTTTTTTCAGTTTTTACAAAATATATGCTTTAAAAAAACTGAATTTTAAAATGGGTCGGGTGGTGGGTTTTTAAAAACGGATCGGGTAAAAAAAGAAGAAATGGATCGTTTTCATATGGTGTTGACACGTCGACTACATCCAAAATAAGGGTGTATTTGTTCCAAAGTATGACGGGAAGGGTATATATAGCCCAATAGTATAACGAGGGGTATTTTTAGACCATTTTCGAAAATACAGGGATATATTTGGCCCTTCGCCGTACTTATAATTATTTTTTAGATGACTTGACAATTAAAAAATTCTTGTATATTATAGGTGTATATTAAACCCAAAAATAGCATTGTCTAGCGCTTATACCTACCCAATACAGCTTAAAACATAAAACAAAAATAAAAGCAGAAAAGGAAAAGTGCAAACACAACTTTAGAGCTCCAGATGAATCCTGTGTCCCCTAAGGTTTACAATATTCATCAATTGTTCTGGGGCCTGTGTAGCCATCTTTTACTTTTCCAACTTATATTGTAACTTATTTTTCTCCTTTTAATATCCGAAAAAAGTGGAGCCCTGGATCTATGGTAAAATTATTTTTGTGTGACCTTTAAGTCACGAGTTTAAGTCGTTGAATTAGCCATGCTTGCATCATAATAGACTATCTATATCATATCTTTTGGGGTGCACTCCTCCTGTACCGTGCATGAACGCAGGATACTTCGTGCACACATCTCATAGTATTCCATCTACTTCAAGTCTACCACTAGCTACTTTATAAGCTCATCACTTAGCCTCAGTTTTGGAAAAAAAAATCTTTCCTATAGTATTCTTCCCCTTCCATCCTTTCTCATAACTTAATGCAATATTCTAACTAGGCTATTTTCAACTTCTCCTCTGAGTTTTCATCATTTTCTTGGCCAAAAAAAATGAAATCCATAGAATTGTTCTGTGCTTCTCCTGCTTCTACAGCCATATGTTCAAGCATGGATCAACGTACTATGGTACGTCGTGGCATTAGGCGTCTTGATCATAAAATTGATCGATTAGGTGACCGTTCAAAAATCAAAACACCAGTAGTCCCTTGTTCTTCTTCTCAACTTCCATTTGATCCTAAAAATTATTATCAAAAGGGTAGAAAAAGCTCTAGTAAACCAAGTGAATTACGTCGAAAAAGCTCAGCTGATATTACTGACTTAGCTAATTCTAGCCCTCCTAGTTATTCTTCTAGGTATTTGTTAAGTGATACTCCATTCATTGATTTCTTATCTTCAGATCATAGTTCTGGAGATGTTCATGCTTTGGTTCCTAGCAAATCCTTAAGGGCTAAAAGCACAAATGAACGTCTCATGTATCGATCTTCATCAACTCGTTCGATTGAATCCCCAGTCTATAAACCTTCACCAGTTTATTCAAAGGATTTGTGTGTCTATAAATCATCATCAACTCGTTCTTGTGCCCGTGAACAGGTTTGCATTTCTTTTATAGTAACATGTTGTGTGTTTCATGTAAAGATTTTTCACATAATCAGTATAGTTTAATATACTTAAACTCTTTTTTCTTTTTGAACGTTTGATAGGTTGTGGAATTGATGGTGTCAATCCACTGCAAAGGTTGTGAAGGGAAAGTAAGAAAACATATCTCCAGAATGGAAGGCAAGTAAAATAATACTACTAAATTTTGTAATGTTTTTTCCCTTCTCTTTTTCTAGTTTCTTCAATGCTAGTACGTATATTATTGATTAGGGATATAGATTATCCAATTAACGGAAAGTAATACTTTTGAATTAAAATATGCAGGAGTGAAATCATTTAAAATAGATTTCCCTTCAAAGAAAGTTACAATTATCGGCGATGTGACTCCACTAGGAGTATTGGCAAGTATTTCTAAGGTGAAGAATGCACAATTTTGGCCATCTCCAACTACTTCCTCTTCCTCGTCCTCGTCCTCGTCCTCGTCTTCTCCAATGGTCTGAACAAAAGATACTGATTAATTACTGATGTATTAGTTTCAAAATATTCTGTAGCGAGTGTGTTTTGTTTAAAAATGTCTAAATTAGCCGTTAATGGTGTATTTCTTGCATTATTATATGTCGTGGGCTTGTAAATATTGTGTTATTTAGTATCTTTTGTATTAAAAAGAATAGAAAGCTAAAAAGAGTTTGTTTGATTCTCTTGTGTTCTGTGATGATAATTTCTTGGAACAAACGAAAACAATCAAGCCTTTGAATATTTTTGGGAAGGGCTCCTTTTTTCTTTCTCTTACTTTTCTATAATTTTCAAAACTGATTATAAGGCTGGCATGTTTGTCTCTACGAATGTCCTATTGTTTAATTACAACTTTCCAGATCACTTATTTTTATGATTGTCGAGCAGTTGCAGAACATTTGACCAAAGATAAAGACTGAAAGTTTACCAACACTAGAATTTGAAAATTTGACAGGACAAAATGTTAATTAAGCACCCGTTTAAATATATAGATTTTGGCACCCAGCTTGTTTGTTCGCGGAATATGATGATTTTTTGGGTAAAAAAATTGAAAGATTTTTCAAGTTCCCAAAAATTGGTTTATGACAGTTTTTGGGTGAAAATTATCCTTTTGCTCTCAAAACTTCAAGATTTTTTCAAATAATATGCATGTCCAAATACAATTTTAAATTTTAAAAATTATTTTCAACACAACTTCAAAAACTCATTTATCAAGTTTCAACTAAATTTATGTTCAAACGCTAGCTTAAATTAAGTGGGAGTGGTAAATGATCATGGAAGGATTTACCGTGTTGGTTATGGGTTCACGTGAAGTTAGTACCTTTTGCCTTATATATATACTACTATATATATATATATATATATATATATATATATATTTAAAAAATTTACTAAATATATATAAATATATTATGAAGTCAATTATTATATAGTATATATTAACGTTTGATGTTGCTACAGGAATTCATAATATTCAAATCTCGAATTCGACATTGTATATGATATATATTGGATTGAAAATAATTATGTGTGCAATTGAGGAGTAATATGAGAGCCAACTAGCCAAGTGCAACTGCTGATGTATGATTGCCAGAATTTGATGATGAGGAACGGCATATTATCATATAAGAACCGCACGCGTTGCCAAATGATGGTTCACGCTTTGGTAGAAACACGTCAAAATAATAAGGTTTTAAACATTATTGATGTTCCACTATCTTCATGCCTGTGAAAGTGGTGATGCGATTATTGTCTCTAGGATGACAAATATAAAAGGTTTTTGAAAGAACTAATAGAAAACCACACCTGTGTAAAAATAAAATTATTTTTCGATTCTGGTAGACTGACCTCTATTTATATATTTAAGCAAAAACGGTTAGGTAAATTTTTTCCACTAGTAAGAATTACTTGGAACACGAAAATAGTAGGTACACGATGAAATTTACTTGAATACCTTAATTCTTTTCTTGAATCATGTTGCATTATTACAAGAGATGCATGATTGACGTGTTGCATTAAATTGTCAAACTTTTCTCTCTGTTTTTCAGTAGAATGACCATACCCATATTTATTACAAGGATGTACTAACACATCAAATAGGCTCTTTGCTATACATGTGATTGACCTCCTAAAACTCGTATATGGAAGGGATTCGGTACTAGTTGATAATGTTGCATATTTGCATTTAACATTTCACCGGTAAACAAATTAAATGTTACCTAATCAAATATGTTCCCGTTCCAAGTGCATCGTGCGTATAGCCTCAATTCAATCACTACGATAGAGAGATTTGACCTACCAACTACAAGTTCCGGTGCAAGAACGATAGCCAATTTAAATGTTACCTAAACAAATAGGTTCCCATTCCAAGTGCATAGTATAGCCTCAATTCAATCATTTTGATAGAGAGATTTGACCTACCAACTACAGGCTCAGGTACAAGAACGATATCCAGTGCTTGGTAAGGTGCTACCCCTCACCCTCTAAGTTTTCTCTTTGTCTATGCATAGATTCCATTTCTTTCCTTTCTTAGCATATTCAGTGTGGTCATGTATGCAATAAAATTGACCTCCTATAGCTAGTTGGATCCAGTTGGTAGTGCAAATAAAGTATATGAAATCCAACTTGAAGAAGACAAGAAGCTTCTCTTCTTTGGAGTGAGGACTTAATGTTCAGTCATAATCATGGCTTCTTTTTTTGGGGGTTGTATGTTACAATAGTACCAGCAAAGCACCACTTTCTCTGTAACTTTGTTTTCAATTTTGTATTAGGTGGCCTTATTTTGCTTTTGGGTTTTGCCCCTCTTTCCATGAATTGATTGAACAGTACAAAAGAGTGGAATTCTATACCTTCTTTCCTATACCGATTGAAAGGGAATCTTGGAATAAAGTTGTTTGCATGTGACATATAGATTACGTCGTGAAAGTAGTCATGAATATTTGTATTAGGGTAGGTTGTCTACATCACACCCCTAATAATACGGTCCATCCCCAAATTCTATTTGAATACGAAATACTATGTACATTGGGCTACCGTTTTTTTACTCTACTGTCTGAATTAAGAAATATTCTGAATCATTACTTGAAAGATTGATGATGCTTTAGTTCAAAATTGGAACTTTCATATTTTTTTTGTGTAGTTTATACTTTATTTTCTTGGCTAAACTTTGGTCGGCAAGGGAAAAAAATCCCCGGGAAAAAAAAAAGAAAAGGTAGAATTTGGTCCATTCATTAAGGGATTATATTTAATTGATAATATGGAGAGAAGCTCTTTATTGACTTGGAGCGGCGCACCATTACTGGCTTGAGATATACGTCTATCCAATTAGCCTTCTATGCTTTTTTGACTCTTTCTGTGTATCTTTTTTGGTTTATTTACTTTTATAATTTGCTCTCTCTCCTCCTTAGCTTTCTTATATGGTGTTACAGTTTGTTTGCTTTTTTATTTCTACCCGGTATTTGATACTCGTATTTTGGCCAGGGCCAAATTAACGTGTCAGAAAGTCCCATATTGGAGGATAAAACGCTTCCTAACAAAAACGATTGCATACCCAAAACTCGAACTCGAAATCTCTGGTAATTAAGGATGAAAGGGTGCTTACCACCCTCATCACCTTTATTTGGGTTTTTTGTTTTTTTGAAAGGGAAATAGGAAAGGGGATCAAAAGGTGGTGAATCGAACTCTTACCGACAAATTAATTAATTAGATAGTCTGAAACATAATTTATTGGAGGAGGTACGAATAATCAAGTACTTGTTACTCCTAAGTTTCAATGATGACAATAGTGCAAATCTAATTTGTATCCATTTAATTGCAGAAAATTAGGAGGCAACACTACTTCAAAAGAAATCCTTTTAGTAAGGACATCAGAAAGAAAACGAGATCAAGCAACAAGAACGATGCTAAATCAAAGGAAGTCAAAGCCATCAAAAAGGAAACAAAATCAAGTTCAGGCGCTAAAGGAAGTCAAGGCTAAATCAAAGGACATCGAGGCTTTCAAGAAGGAAACATATCAAGTGCAGTTGCTAAAGAATATCAAGTCGTATTTCAAAGATTGATTTTGAATCTGAAGATACTGAAGATTGATCAACCAAATCAAGCCACAAATCACTCTCTTGAATATGGATATGAAAGGGAAGGACGTAAACGAATCCAGCCCATCTCTTGTGCAGGATTCAGAGGCACCCCTTGGGTCAAATCTCTTAGAGTATTATGTGCCTCAATCAAAGATCAATCTGCAACGGCTACTCAAACTCTCCTATAAGAAGACTGGAAAACTCAAGAAGACGATCACGCAACTACATCATTTGTTTCTAAGCCTTTCTAGTTTTTAGTACAAATATTGTATTCTTGAGTCTACAAGTGTCACAAAATATAGGAAGAGTTAGAACACAAAACGAGAGTTGTGTCAACATTGAAAAAATCATTGTTGCTGTATATCGTTGATGGTGAACGTACTAAAACCATCACTACTGCAAACATTTATCAAAGATCTAAGAGAACCCTTATAACCCAAGGGAACTGGACGTAGGTACCACATCGGTACTGAACCAGTATAAAAATTATTGTGTCTTCCTTACCTTTCTATTCATTTAGTTCATTTTTACTTAAATCATTCACTGTGCATTGTCTAGTTGACTAAACTTACACTCAGTCAACTAAGATTTTTAAATCGGCTATAATTCACCCCCCCTTCTTGTACTTTCAATTGGTATTAGAGTAAGGCTCACAAACTTTGCTTAACAGCAAGTGAGGAAAAGATCATGGGATCAAATATAGTCGTTGGAGCGCTATTTCAAGAAGGAACTTCTCAGGTATGACCCCCGTATTTTAACGGCCAGCATTTTTCTCATTTGCAAGTACGTATAGAGACCTACACTATGTCATATGACATTAAAGTTTAGCGCGTGATCAAAAAGGAAAATCTTCCAATTCGGCCAAAGAAAGATGAAAATGGCCAAGTCATAGTATCAACCGATCCACTTGATTTAGATGATTACACTGAAGAACAATCATCTATCATAACAGTGAATGCTAAAGCAAAAAATCTGTTGTACAATGCTATCAATGGAGAAGAATATGAAAAGATATCAAGCTGTGAAACTGCAAAGGAAATGTGGGATAAATTAGAGGTCACATATGAAGTAACCAATAAAGTGAAAGAAACAAGGATCAAATCTCCTAGTTTGAGACTATGAATTATTTCAAATGAAGGATGGAGAATCAGTAGAGAAAATGTTCTCCAAGTTCAGCAAAATCCTTGGAGATTTAAAGTTTTTTGGTAGACCAATCAAAAGCGGAGAACATGTCAGAAAAATTCTAAGAAGTCTTCCCACGATTTGGCAACCCAAAGTCATTGCTCTAGAATGTCAGGATCTTGACAAGATATCCTATGATGAACTTAGAGGTAATCTAATTGCATTTGAGAAAACATACTTAGACAGGCAGATTCAACAAGAAAAGAAGAAGACATTTGCATTCAAAGCAGCTGTGGCTGAACCAGAAAATGAAAAGGAAGAGGAAGGAGGAGAACAAGATGAAAATATAGCTATGCTCTCTCAAGTTGTAACAAACATGATGAGGAAAACAGAAATAGCATGAGAGGTAAATCAAACTTCAGAAAAGGAAAGATGAACAATTATAATGATAAAAATGATGGAAGATGCTATGAATGTTGAAAACGTGGACACATTTAAGCTGAATGCCCTGAATTGAAAAAGAAACTCAGCAGGAACTTTCAAAAGAAGAAATCCTATGGAGCTTAGAGTGATGAAGAAGAATATGATCACGAAGAAATCGCCAACATGTGTTTTATGGCCATCGATAGAGATAGCGACGAAAACCTCAGGTGAAGTTGGTCTCATGGCAGACAAAGGTACAAGTGAGGTACGTCTTCCTACATGTCCTAACTGTCATGAACTTCAAGAATTTATTGACATTGCCCTTGTAGATCTTGAGAATGTTCTGAATGAACTTCGAAAAATCCAAAGAGAAAAGAAAGATTGGACTCTGAAGTTAGAAGTATGTGAGATTGAAAGAGATATGCTTCAAGATGAAGTTAATGAACTTCAACTTCAACTGAATGGATTACGAAAATCCACTAGTCATAGATCAATTAGATCAAATCAATTTGTTCCTCACAATCCTCCATCTAGAACTAGAAATCCTTCTTCATGTACTTATTGTGGTAAAAATGGGCACATCTTTGACCATTGCAGGTTTAGAATCAGAGGAGAAAATGTCTCTGAAAATTCCAATAATCCCTCATGTTTCTACTGTGGAAAACTTGGTCATACTTCTAACCATTGAAGGTTCAAGAACAATAGGAGATGGGTCTGGCGACCCAAGCCCTTCAGTCAAGCTAATCTCAGAATACTAACCATTCAGGACCCAAGAAAGCTTGGGTACCTAAAACAAGTAATTCTATTTTTCTGCAGAAACATCGCAAGAAGAATAGAAAAGGGAAATGGTATCTTGATAGCGCATGTTCAATACATATGACTGGTGACAAACAACTGTTCAAGACGGTCACCAAATTAGATGGATAAGATGTCACATTTGTAGACAAATCAAAAGAAAATGTAATTGGAGTTAGAAGAGTTCCTCTCAGCTCAACATGTGACGTAGACGAAGTATACCTGATTGATGAACTTGGTTATAATCTTCTCAGTATCAGTCAACTATGTGACAATGACTATGAGGTTCGTTTTAAAAAAACATGGTTGGTTTATTGATGATGAATCAGGTAAAGTTATTCTTTCTGGTAATCGAGACATGAATCTCTATACTATTAGTAATATAGACAGTCTTGGTAATCAAATTTGCCTAGCGTCTATGATTGATGATCCCTGGGTATGGGATAAGAAGCTTGGCCATGTAGCATGCATACTATTCAAAAACTTTCTAAACGCGATCTTGTCATTGGTCTTCCAAAACTAGATTTTTCAAAAGATCATATTTGTGATGCATGTCAATTAGGAAAACAAACTCGTTCATCTTTAAAAATCAAAAACATTATTTCTACTACTAAACCTCTTCAACTCTTGCATATGAATTTATTTGGTCCAACTAGAACTGCTAGTATTGGTGGTAGAAAATACGCTTTTATTATCGTAGATGATTTTTCTCGTTTCACTTGGATTATTTTTCTGAGTCATAAAGATGAAGCTCTAAGGAATTTTGAAGTCTTATGTAGGAGGGTACAACGTGAAAAGAGATACTACATCTCCACTATCAAAAGTAACCATGGAGGAGAGTGATATCACCCAAACTCACACCACTAATTTAGGTTGCGAGACGGTCGATGCAATAATAAAAACCCAACGCGAGTCGGGGTCGATTCCACAGGGAGCTTGATGTGGGATTAGGTATGTACCTAGTTTGAATGTATGATGTGCCTAAGATTATACTTCCATAATTTTCAATTGTCGTTTCTACTTCTACTTTTACTCTAATACTTGTAATTGTAAAGCTACAAGACAATATTTTTGATTTTGGTTGTTTTTCAAGTTATAAAAGATCTAGGGTTACGACTTACGCCTAGTTGGTTACCTAATGGATTTAGAGCTTTAGGGCATGTTTGGTTGATCGGGATATAATATATCAATCACACGCAATTACTCACTCTATACCTCTCGGTAGTTTGTGTAATTTTGCTCAATTTGGCTTTTTCAAGTCCAAATGGGTATCTCACGAAACAAGTGATAAATGCTCAAGTCGGGTCTTACTATCTCTAGATTCGACCCTTTAATTGGGGCTATCAATTTTTTGCGTTCACCCCAATTTCTTGTTATCCAAGTTTTCCTAAAATTAGTCTCACTTTCTCAAGTATATACTAAGTCAATTAGGCATGAATCAATGTTTGCAACCATCAATTCTCAAATTCAAGCAAGAACTAGGCTAAATATCATATACCCAATCATAAATAAGCCCTAAATCAATCACTCATTAAGTACCCATACTAGGGTTGGGTCACAACCCTAGCTAAGGGTTTAGCTACTCATGAAAAATGAAGAAATTAAAGAAGAAACTAAGATAAAATGCATAATAATTGATTAAGGAAAGAAAATCTAATGTTTAAATGCTAAACTAGTACAAAGTTACCCAATACAGTAAATAAAAACGGCTCTCAGTGTTCAGGTGCACCAAACTTAACCTAAAAATGATAAAAAGATCTATTTATACCGAGCTAAAAATAGCTGACAAAATTGCCCCTGCGAAGGTTGTGCGGCCGCAAAATTCTGTGTGCGGTCCGCACTTTGAGACTGACTAGTCAGGTTGGCTTTCTGCGGTTGCATAAAAGTGAGATGCGGCCGCACTTCCTCTAATTGTGCGGAACGCATATTTCTGAGTGCGGCCACACTCCTGCTCTTGGACTGGATCTGGGTTTCATTCTGCGGGCCGCACATTTATGAATGCGGCCGCACAATAATAGTGTGGTCCGCACATCTTCAAGCTCCCAAACTACAAGTCTCTGAATCTAGTCTTCTGCGGTCGCACATTAATTTTGCGGTCCGCACTCTTTGAGGAAATTCTATCAGTGCATCTTCAGAGTTTGCGGCCGCACACAATATTGTGCGGTCCGCACTGTATCCCTTTTTGCTTTGTTTTCATTCTTGTCCAATTTTACTCATTTTTGAGTTAATTTTCACTTCTTTGGCTTGTTTCCCAATATTCCTGCAAGAAAGCACATTTTATTAGTTCTCGAGAATACCTTTAAGCATTTTTGAGCTAAAACGTAAGTAAAAGAGAGCAAATAATCGGTCAAAATCTCTACTTATCAACTCCCCCAAACTTAAGCTTTTGCTTGTCCTCAAGCAATTAAGGCAAGTTCCCACCTTCACTAGAAAAAGGGTTATTTCAGGTGGCCTAAGTTGAATCAAACACAAATCAATTCGATCCAACAATTACCCACACGCTCATGAATCATTAACAAGCCTATGATTTGAATGTTAAAGCACAAATGGCTCTAATGTGACACTTGAGCATCAAGGGTTGACTTTGTTCATCAAGGAAGCTCGCACTTTCATGCAGGTTACTGTGGATCCCAAATTCCTCCTCCTATACTCTCTGGAAGCTCATCTCACTCACGAATGAAGAATTCAATTCAATGACTCGAGAAAGATTCGCCCATCACTCTCAAAAGAATGTCACAAGCCCGACTTAAGTACCATATGCTTGCCTCTCATGTAGATCACCACTAATGTAAGCTTGCTCATCTTGAAATTACGTAGGGCTTTTTCGGCATGTAATGAAGGCTTTTGGACTAAGAAGGGAAATATCGGAATGGAATTGGTCCATCTTTCCTTTAGCATTTCATATTCTCTTTTTGGCTCTTACTTTGCCGACTCTTTGAGTCATTTTCTTTTCCCTTAAGGGGGATTATAGAGACTTGACATCACTCTTTCTTTGTCATGCTATTCATACTTTCCTTCTTTGTTTTTTCCATACTTTGAACTTTTTCTATCTTTTGCATCTTTTCAACCCTTTCGCATTATTCACTTTCTTTTTGTGTTTTTCATTTCTTTTCTCTTTTTGTTCCTTGTGACCATCTTTAAACTCCTCG